GGGTGTTTGTAATTTACCCTAGATTTTCCCCCTGGACACAGTTAAACATCTTGTAAATTAAGGGTAAATTACAACCACCCTTAAGGTATCATCAAATCACGAAAACCTTATTCTAATTGGGTAATTACAACAACCCCTTAACTATAAATTTTTTTACACGTCCACCCTTGTAGTTTCAAATTTAGTGGAATCTTCTGGATTATATGGAACATTATCAGTTTTGTACCCGTTTTATCCCATTCGAACTCCACATTTTGAAGCAAGATGATCATAAGATGTGTTTTCTGCTTCATTGTGATGCATCAGAAATTGTATTTTTACACGAAATGAATACAAATTAGAGCACATTCCACGGAATCTAGATGATTATGTTGAATTTGACACCATAAGGGTAGAGGTGTAAGAAAATTCATAGTTGAGAGGTAGATGTAATTATCCAAACAATAGGGGGTTTTCGGAATTTAACCATACCTCAAGTGGTGGTTGTAATTTACCCTTAAATTAATACATTCGGGGCTAACAAAATTCTATTAATTTAGTGTAATATTGAATTACCAAACTAATAATTTAATGCAATTTTATCGAGTCGGAACCGTTAAAAATAATTATTAGTAAAACGAGATTATATTTATCAAAGTTCTATTGTAGATAGTTTTTTATAATTATTATTTCAATATATTTTGTTTTGGATCATTATGAGTAATAAGTAACTACAACAAAATATCTATAAATTAATAATGTTGGGATCGTGATATTTTATTATTTGGGCTCTTTACAAATGAGTTTATCAATGGGTACTTATTCAAAAAAAGATCCACACAATAAACTCTTTTACAAAAAAAGTACACACATGGTTTAGAGAATTGTAAAAGACTAAAATAGCTCCTCATACTTTAATAATTATTCAATTTTGACCCAAAACACATTTTTATGGACAATTTCGTCCTTCACCTCCGTTGATCGGCGGTCAACCACTGTTGACTTTTTTTTTTGTTTCTTTCTAATTTTTCCACCGGTTTCCGGCGTTGACTTTTTTTTTATTCCTGATTTTTCCGGCGTTGACATTTTTTATTTTTTTTTCTCTTTCTTTCCATAACATCTTTTTTTTTCGTTTAAATAGCTAATATATATTAACTATATTACTGTTAAACATAGTAAAATTAACTATCTACAGTTTAACACAGTAGTATTGCTATATTAATCTCTAGCATAGTAATATTAACACAACAAAACTCATTATTATCGTGTAATAGAGTAATATTAATATGTTGAACGTTCAACAAATGTAAACATAATAAAGAGTCAAAAGAATTAATATTACTGCGAGTGACAGTAATGTTACTATAACAACAGTAATATTACCGTCAACCACATAATATTACAATAATAGACAGTAATATTATTACGTTACTCCGTGAATAACTCAAACAAAACAAAAAAACACAAACTAAATAATAATATTAATGTGGTTGACAGAAATATTACTATAACAACAGTAATATTACCGTCAACCACAGTAATATTATTGTGTTTACAGTAATAGTACAATAATAGACAGTAATATTATTACGTTACTCCGTGAATAACTCAACAAAACAAAAAAAACCCAAAAAAAAAAAATAATATTGATGTGGTTGACAGTAATATTATTGTGTTTACAGTTATTTTACCGTCAACGATAGTAATATAATTACGATGACTTGTTCACAAATCAAACAAAATTAAAAAAATAAAAAAAAATAATAATAATATTACGTTAATTTACTGTCAACGGCAGTACAATTGCATAAATGTATTGTCAACGGCAGTACAATTACGTTAATTGTACTGTGAGTGACAGTATAATTACGTTAATTTACTGTCCGTGACAGTATAATTACCGTTAATGACAGCACAATTACGATCCGGCGGCGGAAAAAACAGACAAAAAAGAAAAGAAAAAGTCAACGCCGGAGACCGGCGGTGAACGCTAGAATCCGGCGCCGGAAAAATAGACTAGAAAAAAAAAACGAAAAATCAATACCAGAGACCTGCGGCAAAAAAAATTTTGAAAAAAAATGAAGTTTTTGAAAAAAAAAAGTCAGAATTGAATTTTTGTGGTAAAAATTGATTAAATTGGGGTTACAAGTAAGAATTTGGTGTAAAGGGTTGGGAGGTAATTTTGTCATATACATGAATTTTTCCTTTATTTATAATAAATATTAAAGGGATGAGCTTTTTGGTGAAAGAGATATAACCCATAAACCTAGAATAATAAAGATGTTAGGTTATGGACTTTATGCACAAAAACCCCTTATTAATTTAGCGAGATATTATTACATAAATAAATTCATAATTTATTAATTTAAAAAGGTTTTACGTATGACCTTTAAATTTCCAAGTCCAATGTACTAGTTACAAGGCACATTCTATGATTGCACATTCACAAATTAATTAAATTTGTCAAGCTCATTATTTTTTAATAAGTAAAAAATTAGTTCATGGTACCAAAAAGTTGGTCCATGATACCAAGGCAGTACAACTCTTCACAATTTTTTGTTGCAATATGAGAAGACAATGCCTCAACTTTTAAGTGTAATGAGGAGATTTAAAGATGGACTCGAAATGGATTCGAAGTTCAACTAAACACATATAGATTCATTTTTTACTAAACCATCTTACGATTTAGAATCTTTTAGTAATTATTAATTTATAGTTCATTGGGACCAATATATATATATATATATATATATATATACTGGGATTTCAAACAAAGTTATTATCTAATTATCTTATTATTTTATTGATTGGGGTCCAATTTTGTACTGGTCCCAAGTTAGTCCCAAGTTAGGACTAAACAAATTATTAATTTTATCGAGGTTATTAAGTTATGTAGTATTAATTTATAGAGGTTTTACCCTAGATAATTCTGACAACAGTAGAAAAACCCTAATCCTAACGTTATTTTTGTAATTCTTTTAATTATAGTTTTTTTCTCTACTGATTTTCCTTTTTTCCTCTACTAGTTTTCTAATTATTTCTTATCTCAATGTTTTTTTTGCTTTTTTTATCAATCCATTTTCTTTGTTAGTGGCATCTTTATAAAAATATATATAATCTTTATTTTATTAATTATTTATTTATTTAACGATTTTATATTATGATAATTAAATATATATATATATATATATATATATATATATTTTTTTTTTGTCGATTAAGTTTGTATTATCAGATTTATATGATATTGTAAATATCACTAATAAATTTTATTATAATAGTGTAATATATTTCATTATTCATTGTTATAGTCGTGTATTAAATTAATTTATTTTTTTAAGGATGCTAATAAGCCTCATAGAGGTTGCATTTGGACAACATTATTTCAAATTTATTATAGAAAAATGAAAATTGAAATGAAAACACTTGTTTTAAAATCGATTTTTTTCTAATAAATAGAGGGAATTCAGAAGTCCGGTCCAATTTTCACCCCAAGTCTAACATTTATTACTTGCATGTTATTTGGAAAGGATGCTAAGAAACCTTAGATTTTGCATTTGGACGAAAATTACGAATATGTACAACAAATAACTTGTTTGAATCGATTTATTGACGAGTCAAATCCTTAGTCAAATATTTTCAAATCCAAATTCTCCAAATTTTCCAGGTTCAATGGGTTTTCACTTTTTAGCATTATAGATAAGCTTTATATTAGGTGAAATGTTTTTTTGGGGTTAGAACTTTGCTATTTGCAGTTCATACCCCCAAAAACATTTCTCTCACTTCAACCCCTCTTCCACACACTCTCTCTCAAAACCGAAACAGTTAAAAAAAATCAAAAAAATTCAAATTCAAGCAAAAACAAGCTAACTTCATCGAAATTTTGAGGTATTTTCAACTCCTAAACGTTTTTATTGCATTGGGCAGGAAATTTCGGTTGTAATTTTATGTTAAACAGCCCTACAAATCGATTTGTAGGGCTGTTTTTTTGCCAAATTCGGCGTGGATCGGTGGTTTGCACGTCCAACTTGGGCGTGAAAAACAGTTTCGGGCGCCTGGCCTGGTTTGGGCGTTCTTTGTCCAGATTTTTCGAACGAAACGACGAAACTTTTACCTCGTTATGATGTGTATCCCAATCTTCATCCGATGAGCTCATTTGTGTTTGTATATCACTTCACAAAAATGATTTTATGCTTAATTAGCTTCTATTGTTAATGAGAGAGGTCTTTTTGTAGAGAGAGTAAGGGGATTAGGTTTAAAGTACAAATACCAATTTTTTAACTGTAAAAAGTAAGTCCCTTACTCCTTTATATTAGTTA